GCAACTGCCCATTGAAGTATTATTGAACCAATTCGACTTAGGGTCCTTTTAGAAAAGAGGGTATCATTATTATTAAAAGGCCGGCAACGCACTCGCGAGCCGTCTGGAATTGAGAGTGTCCATAGGCGGGCGGTATCACTTAAGATCAGCTGAGCCTCTTGTCTGTTTGCCCCCCTGTTCTATTAAAAAAAACTATATTTCCGCATATGTAGCTACACACTCACCAGATACTGACACATTAATATAATTTGGTTAAATACATTATATTATTTGCATAATAAAGGATTAATGGTTACATAAACAGTGTGTGGCGTGTTATAAAGTAATTTTCAAAAGTTGAGAATAACGATGAAAAAGTTATTTTTGCACCAGTAATTTATATTGTTTCGTATCATTCTGATTTGTAGTGGATGTAAAACTGTGCTTTGTAAGTGGAAATTGTTCATAGCGCTGTGAAAAAACCACAAAAAATGCATACGCGATGAGCCATTTTAAATTACGCTCGTAAACACTTCAAAGGTTCGGTACAACAACCTACAATTATAAAGCTTGACGTACACCGACACGTATATACTACGAATGTTTAGGTAAATAAAATTATCAAAAAATATTACTCTTGTTTCTATAATATTGTTCATAATTTATTTGAACAAATATAAAAGTAATTCGTAGAATAATAGCTAATTGACACACATTTTTCTCTACACACTAAAACATTCATTTATTACATACAACATTTAGTACATTCTATATACATATATAGTTTATTTGTTGTGTTCTAGCTCCATTTATTAACGTGAAATAAGAAAAAAAACTTTACGTCGGTTATTATAGTGAATTGAGTGAGTGAAGAAACTTCTTACTGAAGTAATCACAGACATTCATTTGTCCATAAAAAGGTATTTTAGTGTTAAGTGTAAGATCAGCCGTGGCCTGTTAGGGACGGAGGAATTCACTTCCCGACGTCATTACGGAATTCCCCGTCAAATGAGCGTTAATCCGAAATATTTCCCGGACCTTTACGATGTGGGGAGGCATAAATTTAACGTTACTTCAAATGAGGTTAATATAAAGGCATTGTGCGAAATGACTGTGTTTAGGAGGGCGCCTTTGTCGGCCATCTTTTAGCAGCTATGATAATTTTTATGAGTTTACTCGCTTAGTGTTGGCCTAGTGGCTTCAGCGTGCGACTCTCATACCTAAGGTCGTAAGTTCGATCCCCGGCTGTGCACCAATGGAATTTCTTTCTATGTGCGCATTTAACATTTGCTCGAACGGTGAAGGAAAACATCGTGAGGAAACCGACATGTCTTAGACCCAAAAAGACGACGGCGTGTGTCAGGCGCTGGAGGCTGATCACCTACTTGCCTATTAGATTTAAAAAATGATCATGAAACAGATTCAGAAATCTGAGGCCAAGACCTAAAGAGGTTGAAGCGCCACTGATTTATTTTTTTACTCGCTTAACGTGTGATAGAAGTATGTAAGTGGAATCGTGCGGATAGTTGTTTTAAGCTTTCTCTCGTTAGATTGTTGACTTTAATCATTGAATGAAATTTATCTTGACTTATATCTATATTCCAAGACCTATCTATTTCTTACTGCTTTAGGGTTCCAGAACTAATTGAGCTGACGAAATAATTATCCGTTTCATATGGTTCTTGGAAAACTGATGGATACGCGCCGAGCCTTTTCATAAGACTCGCGAATAGTTGTTGCGCACCTCAAACCATTGCGATTAGGCTAATGATGACATTAGTATGAACAAGACAGCAAACAGGCTTCATTTAACTTTGATGTACTAGCTGTGTTAGCCTGTATTTTTTATGTATGGTAACGTGTCAATTTGCCATCAACACATAAAAATGTTTTAATTAGCAATTATTTTACATTTTTTTATTAAACTTTGAATAAACAATGTGAACACAATAGGGATATAACTAATAACTTCTGTTAATTAGTTATAGAAATAAGGCTTATAAGACGTATTATACCCTATCTCATGACGTCATAAGCGAATAACCATTAGGGGAGTGACTCTCTGGATGGAGCAAATTACATTTTTATATCACCCTTGAGTACATAAAGATTAAAATCCCTCTCTCTGGCACGTAATTGAACATTGTGAATGTCTTTATGTCAGGTACACTTCCCCTTTAATTCGTCCTTGTATTACAGTTACATCTCTGGTAAAGATTGATTAGAAAATATAATATAACCTATATTGTTCTCAATCTTGGTAATTCATTAGAATTATTTAAATTCCCGTTCTCTGTGTGTCGTTGTGAAATGTTTTGTTTTTACTGGACTTAAAAATATAAGGCAATTTATTAGAGTCAACTATTTCTAATGATTAAAATGACGCGTCTCTAATAAGGTAAACAAATTACTGCATTGCTTTCATTTACATTTTTGTAGTATAAAAATATATAATTTCGCTGAAAATAGAGAAACTATAGCTGTGCTTAATATAGTGACGATTCTGTACTTTTACTTTATTTAAGAGGGCAATTTAAACAAAAAACTTATTATGTAGGTAACATTTAAAAAATATGTTTATAAGATTATTAAAATATTGCTTCAGTATTAATTTACTGTATGAACTTAATTAGAACACATGACAGTTCTTTTAATCTTCACCACACTTGAATTGCAACTTGGATTGCCTAAATTGAGATCTCATATCCCATTTGAATAGCTATTACACAGACAAACTCGGCAACTACGATTGAATTTCAACATCCCATCTAAAGTTTGACAATTGTTAGAGAAGATGCCCAGAACAGATGGCAAACTACAAAGTTTGAGAATCCAGACACACAAGATGTCCGTACTGTTACTTATCTAAATAAATGTATCTAATGTTATCATAGGTAATAAATTTGTGTTTTGTGTTAAATCAAGAATACCTTCATGAAGCGCGAACAAAGATCATCTTAACGACTAATTATAATTGTGGAGTTGTTAAATTATTAAAATTACTTATTAAGTTTTATAGGGTATCTTATGTGAAGTAAATAAACTTCTGTTGTGATATAAATGCGAATATAGGTTATAACGCGACATGTAAAATTTTTGAAGTTATCCTTCCTTTGGCGCGATGGAGAAAAATGATGAGAGTGAATTTTTACGATGCGCGCGCACTCCGACACCTAAATTCTACATCGTAAAGTTAGTTCTAGGTGGCATGAAAATCGATAATAACTATGTTCAAGTTGTATATTCTAGTATTTTAGAACACGTGTTTCGTAACAGTACAATTAAACGGTGTGAATAAATAAACATTATTTTGGTGTTTTTATTAAATCAATTTCATATACGACGGTGATAGTATTTACTAATAATTTATTATTTATTAGTATATCTATATATATAGAATATTAGTGATAAAACTGTTTTGAGTGCATTTATAGATTCGAGGTTAATTGTCGGTATGTATAATGTATTTACATCGTTAATTAAAAATTATTATATTATTATCTAAAAAAAATTTTTTTTTTCGTTTTGTTTTATTTTTACATACGCCAAAGAAGTATAACTTCTAACGCGTGTACATAAGTACACACACTCTTTTTTTACAGCAACCGAGACTGTCCTGATGAACTACTGTTACTCGCTGACCGTATATCCTGTAATATATATAAAGGAAAATTAAATACAAAAACAATGTTAGCCTAATTATTCAGATTCCGGTCCTCATGAGAAATTGTTGTTTATCTATAAAGACTATTCATTTAGTAGTATTTATCTAAAACGTAAATTATCTGGAACATTGAAATGTACTAAATGTGTTTGTTAGGTAAAATATAATCTATTTAATTCCCAGTAAGGAAGCAAACCTGTTGAATTTAAACAAATTAATAACACTAAATTATTAATAACTTTAGTATTTTTAATTTTATTTTTAAACAAATTTCTTCTTGACAGTTACTCGTAGATACATACATCAGAAATTAATATTTGTTCATTTAAACTGAAAACTTCTTGTAAAACATGGATTAACAATCGCATAGTAACTATGGTTACAATTATTATGGAAATAACATCACCATGGCCGGAGGCCGGGAACGCACCCACTAACACGGGTGTCCAATGGGGCGGTAGCTTTTATGACTGTTCCGCAGGCTAGTTTGCCCCCTATAATATAAATAGAATTGTAACTTAAAATATGTTGTATGAATAAAGTCTCTACGGTTTTGAGACTAGATTTATGATATATTTTTATGCACTGGAACCATTAACATGCCAATTATTCTATCTGCATCTTAAGGCATTCGTCATACGTAATTAACACCGACCCTTTTAAATCTTTCCAAGGCCACTTACTGTCTGAATATAATTATCTATGGAGGTGATGTTGTCACATGTCACGCCACTATTTCACTGCCTACTAATTCAATAAAGTCTATGGTCCGAGTATAATCGCCTCATGCTGATTGGCTAACGTGACATCGCAGGTTAAATACACTTCACATTGTCTATTATCGTTAAAAAGAATGAAATTCTATTGCTAGTGAATAGATAAAGTAAATTATTTTAAAACAAATTTTAATTTCTATTTACGTTAGCCGGTACTTTAAAAAAATACCGAAGTGGAAGGCTGCTGAAATACGTAATTAAAATGATTAAACGCTGACTACTGTCTTGCTTGTGCCCTTGAGTCTACTAAGTCTAAGACAATGAGGGCTGAATTAAAGTGGTTATCTTCGTGGTTGCGGATGTTTCTTCATTCACATCCATCAGAGCCACTGCTTTGCTGGGCCACGTAGTACGGTTCACACAGTGGGATGGGAGACATGTTAGGACTAGCGACAGTTATTGTGAGTCCGATGGGTATGGCACTACCCTTAGGAAAGGGGGCCTTGGACGGTGGTGAGCTTTATTGGTGGCTTGGGTCGTGCATTCCATCGGGCTTTGCCCAGGTCAGTTATTCTGGTCATAATATCGGTCATTGGGATGGACCTAACCTTACCGGGTATTATTGTAGTATATAATATTGGCTATAGTAGAAAGAGAGGCGCTGGACATAAACCAGTGGAAACATATACATAGTCCCCTCCAGATGCTTCCTTGCTGACCACGATCCTTAGATATGAGCTGCCCATTAAATAGGGAGGAAGTGAAGAGGCCTGGAGTGCAATGGTCTTCTGTGAGCATCTAACGCTATAGAAGGAGGCTGCTGAGTGATTGAAGGAGAGGTCTGAAGTTGACCGTAGACAGGCCGGAGGTTCAAGGCTGGAGTCTCGGTCTCGAGCGGCCCTTAACCCCAGGTCTTGATTGAGCTCTTTGTCGAATATAAGCCCGGATCCTTGGGTTGAATGCCTTAGCGAACCCCGAGGGTTCATCTTAAGGGCCTGTGGAGGGCTGAGGTGTTTTTAGTGGGTAGGGTCTCAGTCACCGCGTCAATGTCGACATCCGTGGGCCTGTGTAAGCGCATCTTCACCTCTTTAAAAGCCTTCGTAAAAGTTGTAGGAATATTAAAACCTTGAACCATTTTACAAACAGCTATTTCTATGTTAACAACGTATCGATTCCGAACGACCGAATCGTTTATTTTAGAATCAAAAAACTAAAAAAAACATTTATTTGATTCGCTTCATTGAATGGGAAATTCACACCGCTTTGATGTTTGAACTTTAAACGATATAGATTTTGTTAAAAATAACTGAAACTAAATTTAGATTCGGTCTAACAGTAATTTCTACTTTTATGGGATTTTTTTATAAAATCGTCTAGTTTTTTTAGCTCGTGACATTACAACTAAAATTCCATACCAGCATACTTATAAGCAAACATGTTAGCTAATGTAAGTGATTAAAGGGAACCTATTTCTTACTAAGTAATATTTAAGTTTATAAAAACCAAAATCTATAGAATTAATTTGGGGTTGTACAAACGGGTGCTAGTTTGCTGATAACTTGTACTTCAAGAATATTAAATTTTTAACAATCTATGACAGTTAATTTTAAATCATACAACTTTGTTTTAACAGTAATAACGTACACTATTATTAAAGCATCGAAACCCTTATTATTATCATGAGAGTTACACGATAATAATTAATTGTTATAACTTTTCATGACTTTATTTTAACTGATAACGTTAATTAATTATATATTATATTAACCTATTGTATGTAACATTATACAACATATATATTTAAACTATATGCCATGATGATAATGTAGTAATAAGAAAAGGCCTTCACACTTTGACATTATTTTACCGTAGCTTCATAAAATAAAAGAATAAATTACTTTCTCATTTCTCTCGCCCCTATTGTTTCAAATAATAAAGCATTATACATTAATGGTCTTCTATATAATTGCGCTTCATGACTGCAGTTAAAATTAACTGGAGCTCGTTAATTGGCGCATCTGACTAACGCCACCTAGTCTTTGTTTCCGAAACGAAGTTCGCTTCCAATTATTTGGGGAGAAAGAGTGCTAGGTAAAACGTCTACTCATTGTTTCTGTTTGTTTTCTTTTATTTGACAAGTCCTTGAAGCAACGAACTTCACTTGTAATTAAGCGTCTGCAATAGCGTTGTCAATAATGAGTACCTATCATTCGTATACGAAATACCTTTTTGCAAAACAAACGTATACTTAGTCTTCATTTATTGACTCTATTACTTCTTTTGTCCAATTATTGGTACAAATGTAAAATAAAAGATAAAAAAATGGCATATTTCGTTTGATTGTGATGGGACAAATGGTTAAGTTTTCTGACTGCAATCGCTTTATTTTGAATACACAAATATAGAGTATTAGCAATATTCTTAAAATAGTAATAATAATAATAATTAAAAATTGATAATTAGAAAATTACATAAAATTTAAAAAGTTTGGTCCCTGCGGCAGTGTACCTATTGTAGGAACGAATAAGTATTGCCATACTTATTCGTTCAGCAATGAAAACACCAGCTCTGGGGTCACCGGTCTACTATCTACCAGTAGCCAACTTAAATCTTGAATTAGCACCTGTGCACTTGAATCCCACGGCCCAAGAGTCTCTACAAAGTCCAAAGGGAACAAAATCAAAGTTCTAGGAAATACTCTTATGTTTGAGCCATTTATTATTTTTCGTCTGCTCTGCGGCCACGCCAGCTTTTGTGCTTGTCCCAGGCCGTCCCATACCAAAGCCCGTCCCATTCTCCAAGGAATCAAAGACATCCCATCCGGCTGCTTGCCATCGTCTCTAGCGATGCCTATTGGGTCCAAAATGGCTGAAATATTGACGGCAAAGGAGCGGCGTACCATGTCGTTAAGCGCGGCGGGCGTGGCGTTTTCTGACTTATTTTTACATTTTCATATCGATCTACAATTGTCTGTCAACGGGCGAAGAGATATTTCTGCTGTCTGTCTATATATTTGGTGTTTTATTATGTTCAGCACTCAGTAGTCGTATTGACTGTCGAAGCCTGCGCGTTCTGTACCCAGAATCTAGACTTTCTAATTGTTATTGATTTTGAACGCGATGTTGATTTTTACTTTTGTATATCCAAGAAATGTCTTTCGAATAAATAAAACATTTTATGGTATACCTATTAGGGGGTACAATTTATATGTACTGTCTTTTTCCTTTTCTACTTAATTCGTACATATAAAAAATCTTTTCTTACTATATCCAAGATATTAAAGTAACCCTATTTGAAGAAAACATGAAAATAACAAGGACCCTTTGTATCAAATATCTTGTACCTAGTTATAAGTTGAAGGAGATTTAATATCAGACGATATTCGTACTGAGACCGTAGCCATAGGCGGACAATCGTTTTTTTCCGTCACAAAGGCTCACTTTCTGGGAAATCTTACGAAAGCTCAGATAATGAAAACTTACTGACAGTAGAGGCGGTCTATTAAGCTTATTTTTAATATTTCTCAGAGTTTTCCCATTCATAAAGGCTTAGAATATTGGTAGGGGAGCCCAAGAGGGGATTTCGGGATTTACTAAAGCGCGGCAGATTACTATATAGGGGGATACCTTGTACCCGGTTAAGTACCTCCACAAAATATGAGGCCCATATATAAGGCCGCGCGTGAAGGAGACAGGATCAGATTAGTAAAAAAAAATTGACCATCAGAAATTCCCGAGCGCGTCAGATTAAGGTAGGGTGAGTTAATTACATCCTAAAAAGTGTATATTCCACTAATCTGACAATTTGAGAGTGACGGAAAAAAAGGGGAGGGCAACAAAGTTGTAAAAAAAAACGTCATCTCGACATTCTCGAGCGTAGCTAATTTTTCTTTTATTTTGAAGGAAATAATTCCAGAATAATGAAAAATATATAATCTGACGATTTCCGCAAGCCGAAATAACAAAAATTCGTCGATAAAGTTAAATGCGTGCAGCTGCGTGATGCCTACATTTCCTTAAACCGATCGGAATCTACTAAACGGCGTTCAAAATATTTCCCTCAAAATTACATTTCCTGTGAATTTGAACCGATTCGGACCGATAGATTTTGAGAAATTTTGAAAAATCTTAAAAAAATAAGAAATATTTTTTTTAAGTGGTTTCTTTATCGATCAACTTCAAAAACTAATCCGCCTTTGAGCTTGAAAAACCACGTCGATCGCCACCAAGCTGGTCAAAAGCGGTTGATTCGTTCGAGAGATATCGTACATGAAAGAAACCCGAAAAAGTGTTTTTTCGGGATTACTCCGAAATTTGTGGTTCGATCAATTAAAATTGCAAAGTTACTTATGAGAATGATAAAACTGCGTCGAATGCCGCCAACCGCGTGAAAATTGCTTGATCCATTCAAAAGTTATTGCGGTTTGAAAATTCCAAAAATAGTGTTCTATGAAACTTCTATCAGACTTTCGAGCTGGGAGAGCTCAAATGCATAGAAATGTTATTTCTTTGAACTCAGCGAGCTCAAAATATCAATTTTAAGCGCCCAGGAATGGAATTAGCGGGAAGTTGCAGGGATGGCCCTTTAGGTGAACCGTTTTTTTTTTTTTTTTTTGTCAGATCAGGCGAATCCCTCTAGATAATCGTCAGATTATGAGACAGTACGTTTAGAACATAAAGATGAACCACATATATCTTAATCTGACGCGCTTGAGTATTTCAAAATTGCGATTTTTTTTTGCAAATTAAGAAAATGGCTGTGGGTTTGCGTCCCATCGAAATCGTCAGATTAGTGAATGAGAGATTTTTTTTGGTGCACTTAACACTCCCTTAGAAAATCTGACGCGCTCGATAAATTTTTTTTTTTTTTAATTTTCAACCCTTAAATACAACCACCCGCATCATGCAAACGATCAGATTAACATACGTACATTATTAAAAATACGTAGGGCATAGATGCTATCAATATCTGACGCGCTCGAGGATGTCCATGCAACAGTTTTTTTTACATATTTAACTATCTATAGCCGCTTCCCCCACCGATGAAAAGGAATTTATCATATAACATTTTTTTCTTCTTTTTATCTAAGCTTTGTATCCCAATAGGTCTCTACGACGCTCGAGTAAATCCCCATTTAGCATCGTGGGCTCCCCTACCATATGTTTTTAATACATGTATATTATATTAAATATGTGGATGTATTATTGTGAAATTCTATAATAATTTTACCATTTAAAGCAGATACACTAATAATTATATCCAATAGTGTAGAAATTAATACACACATTATTTTTATTTTTTAATCCAAACATTTATTTCTCATACAAGCTCACTCGTCCGTAAATAAACGTCGTTTAAATACTTACTCCCTTATTCATAAAAACTAAACCAGTTGAATCTGATGAGTACTTTAGTTAAAACCAGACTAATTTATTTTTTATAAATAATATGTCGTGTGTTTAACAACACGCCGGACCTTAAAAAACAAATGAAAAACGTTAGTCCATATTGATGCTCTTGTAAAGTTACTATTGAATAAAATTCAAAAAAAATCAAAAATCATTTTATCATATGGGTAAATTGTACACATATGACTTGTCAGTAAAGAAATACATATTAATGCTTCTAATTGTACATTTAGTGCCAGTTCTCAAATCAAGGGCGTAGAACGGAAGAGAAGAACTGGCAATAAACTCTCCGCCACTCTTTTTAATCACCATGTTTTTTTTTTACACAATGTTAGTAAGGAGCTGCAACCATTAAACCACGTTCCACATGACACCTTAAGTAATTAATAATAATAACATAAATTAAAAACAAAGAGTTGTCCTCTATCAGCAGGAGGCATGGTGAAATAGGAGCACGCACTTACAATCTCGTCGGAACAACACGCAAACACATAGTCGAAATAATTAACATCAAGTCACCACAAGTAGCACCCGTTCACGAGTATGACGCATGGCCAGCCATCGGCCCCCTCGCCATA